GCTTGGGTTGGCTGCGGTGGCGGTGTGGTTTCGGTGGAAGTGGGGCTCTTCTGTCAGCGTTTTCTTTTGAGCCCGGGGCTGGGTTCTTTACCGGTTTTGCTCGGCAAGGTTGTAGCCTTCTTGCAATAGAGCTTCTCCCTGTTACCCCTTGGGGAGACGTGGGTGCCGCTGTGTAAGAGCAAGGGTTAGAGAATGGCTGGTTCCAGCTTTGCTGATGTTTTTCAAAATATATTTGTCTTTTTTTGTTTGTTTCTTTTAGATTAAGTTATATACAAAACATGGTACTCTGAAATACCAGACCGATTGCGCTCCAATCAACGGGTATTTCATGATTCCCCTCTATGATAAGGTAAGAAACTGAAATACCAGTGCTGTCTCCTCTGTGCTGGAAGCAGGAGCTGCCAGCAGATTAAATGTCACAACACCACCCACCCATGACACGTTTGAATCAGGAAATAATTTAGTTTGTTTTGGACCAAACTTTCAGCTGTTTCTCTTTGTAATGCAGCCATTTTGTTTCTCAGTGCTAAGTATGATCTTGAGGAAAGCCGGGTAACTTTAGCTGCGGTGTTACTTTTGTGTGATTTATCTGTATGACTGCACCATTGGGAGCCTGAGTTACTGCCAACAACCGTGTGCTAGAAGCTGTACAAATACTGCACGAAAAGTACAGGTTCCTACAGAGTACAGATAAAGCTTTTGGTTATCTACCTATAGAAATGAAAATAAATCTGAATGAGAAAGTGTTTTAATACGACTGAATTGAAAATAACTTGCAAGAGTAATTGCAGATGTTAAAAGTGTCTTAAGAAAATAATGATACAGGAAGCTCAAAATGTATCAGAAGTTTGATATGTATTTAGACTGGAAAAACGTTTACATTCAAATTAAATACAAGCTACCCTCAGATGGTCTAAGTGTTTTGCTCTTTTGAAGAGCTAGGTAACTTAGGGATCAAAAAGAAGTCCTTCCCTTCCAGTTCTAAGAACGTAAGATGCTTTCTGATCTCAGGGATTTCATTCTTAGGTCTTTGAGCATTTCCATGCATGAACTTCAGAACATATGTGGTGCCCACTGATTTAAAGAGGAACTCTGTGTAGATTAATACCCTTTTGGTGCAGAGCTCTTAATAGGGTTGAAATTTTGTTAGCCCATGTTTGGGCAGAATGATTGAGTCGGACCTCCTAGTGGAAGTACTAAAGGCTGATTTAGAGCACATCTGTTGGGGCAGGTAGAGACAGATCTGAGCACTTTGTAACACTGAGCTGCTTCAACATGAGCCAGGTTTGGTCTGGAAGTGGTATAATGATACATAAGTGTATGATAATACATAATTTTTGCTCTTAGCTGGCTGGATATGAGCCCAGAATCCCAGCCTGTCTGGGCAGATGCAATTGCTGCTTTCAACAGAGTATTTTAGGTAGGAGGAAAGGAGAATGGAATACTTGAGTCTTGTGTTGTACAGCAGAACGGCTACGACTTGGTCACCATCACAGAAATGTGGGACAGCTCGCATGACTGGCATGCTGTCATGGGTGGCTAC